CAAGAAACTCGGAGTAGCAACGGATTGTGTTTCCTTGGTGAGGACCGCTTCCATTGTGTACTAGCTCCAGTGCACCCCAGCGCTGTTGAGCCCTCTTTGCGGTGGACGGGACCACTTCCCCCTGTGTGAAGGCTCTCTTTTATAGATTGAGCACTCTTTCTCAGATACCGCAGCTATGGACCCACCAAGACGGACGGACCTCGGCTATTCCCTCGGGAATATACCCATCCCATCAGCAGACTCCTACCGAACGCGTCTGGTGGAGAAAGTGGAGAGTGTAATACGCCGGATGAGGTGGAAGGCGTTCTTCTTTCTCAACGGCGAGACCAGAGCGCAGGAGACCGAGACATATGGTTTCCCAAGCCAGAAGACGCCACCGCCAGTGCCGCAGCTAAAGGCATTCGAAGACGTTACACTGCCTGCACCTAGCAGTAACTCTTCACTCTCCACACTTCACGCTTTCTCTTTTGTGCGCCTTGCTGTGTGGTTGTGTATTTCTTTAGTGGACCTGACAGCCCTGCTTTAGTTAGAAAAGTTGCCTGACGATTGAAAAACTCAAGAAACTCGGAGTAGCAACGGATTGTGTTTCCTTGGTGAGGACCGCTTCCATTGTGTACTAGCTCCAGTGCACCCCAGCGCTGTTGAGCCCTCTTTGCGGTGGACGGGACCACTTCCCCCTGTGTGAAGGCTCTCTTTTATAGATTGAGCACTCTTTCTCAGATACCGCAGCTATGGACCCACCAAGACGGACGGACCTCGGCTATTCCCTCGGGAATATACCCATCCCATCAGCAGACTCCTACCGAAAGCGTCTGGTGGAGAAAGTGGAGAGTGTAATACGCCGGATGAGGTGGAAGGCGTTCTTCTTTCTCAACGGCGAGACCAGAGCGCAGGAGACCGAGACATATGGTTTCCCAAGCCAGAAGACGCCACCGCCAGTGCCGCAGCTAAAGGCATTCGAAGACGTTACACTGCCTGCACCTAGCAGTAACTCTTCACTCTCCACACTTCACGCTTTCTCTTTTGTGCGCCTTGCTGTGTGGTTGTGTATTTCTTTAGTGGACCTGACAGCCCTGCTTTAGTTAGAAAAGTTGCCTGACGATTGAAAAACTCAAGAAACTCGGAGTAGCAACGGATTGTGTTTCCTTGGTGAGGACCGCTTCCATTGTGTACTAGCTCCAGTGCACCCCAGCGCTGTTGAGCCCTCTTTGCGGTGGACGGGACCACTTCCCCCTGTGTGAAGGCTCTCTTTTATAGATTGAGCACTCTTTCTCAGATACCGCAGCTATGGACCCACCAAGACGGACGGACCTCGGCTATTCCCTCGGGAATATACCCATCCCATCAGCAGACTCCTACCGAAAGCGTCTGGTGGAGAAAGTGGAGAGTGTAATACGCCGGATGAGGTGGAAGGCGTTCTTCTTTCTCAACGGCGAGACCAGAGCGCAGGAGACCGAGACATATGGTTTCCCAAGCCAGAAGACGCCACCGCCAGTGCCGCAGCTAAAGGCATTCGAAGACGTTACACTGCCTGCACCTAGCAGTAACTCTTCACTCTCCACACTTCACGCTTTCTCTTTTGTGCGCCTTGCTGTGTGGTTGTGTATTTCTTTAGTGGACCTGACAGCCCTGCTTTAGTTAGAAAAGTTGCCTGACGATTGAAAAACTCAAGAAACTCGGAGTAGCAACGGATTGTGTTTCCTTGGTGAGGACCGCTTCCATTGTGTACTAGCTCCAGTGCACCCCAGCGCTGTTGAGCCCTCTTTGCGGTGGACGGGACCACTTCCCCCTGTGTGAAGGCTCTCTTTTATAGATTGAGCACTCTTTCTCAGATACCGCAGCTATGGACCCACCAAGACGGACGGACCTCGGCTATTCCCTCGGGAATATACCCATCCCATCAGCAGACTCCTACCGAAAGCGTCTGGTGGAGAAAGTGGAGAGTGTAATACGCCGGATGAGGTGGAAGGCGTTCTTCTTTCTCAACGGCGAGACCAGAGCGCAGGAGACCGAGACATATGGTTTCCCAAGCCAGAAGACGCCACCGCCAGTGCCGCAGCTAAAGGCATTCGAAGACGTTACACTGCCTGCACCTAGCAGTAACTCTTCACTCTCCACACTTCACGCTTTCTCTTTTGTGCGCCTTGCTGTGTGGTTGTGTATTTCTTTAGTGGACCTGACAGCCCTGCTTTAGTTAGAAAAGTTGCCTGACGATTGAAAAACTCAAGAAACTCGGAGTAGCAACGGATTGTGTTTCCTTGGTGAGGACCGCTTCCATTGTGTACTAGCTCCAGTGCACCCCAGCGCTGTTGAGCCCTCTTTGCGGTGGACGGGACCACTTCCCCCTGTATATATATATATATATATATATACTCAATCTGCGGACAGCATGCTGTTTCGTTCTTTTTGAACTCATCAGCGCAGCACAGAGAAAATGAGGCCGAACCTGATAGCAATGGAAATAAAAATTTCCAATCAGGCCCGAACGTACCTTGCTAGAGTGCTCAAACTGACAAGTCAGTGAGCTCTGCATAACGCAAACAGCAAAGGCACTACCCCACGCAAGAGTGCTCAACTGCTACAAGATATATATATACACTCAGACACAAAGGATCTCCAAGTTTCTCACTGTTGCTACTCTGAGTTTCGTGCAAAAGCACTCTTCAGGCAACTACTTGCCTGAAGAGTGCTTTTGCACGAAACTCAGAGTAGCAACAGTGAGAAACTTGGAGATCCTTTGTGTCTGAGTGCATAACCCCGCTCTGTCTTAGGACATTGAGCACTTTTTGCCGACGCAAGAAATACTTCTATTGTTCTATATATATATATAGCACTCTGGCAAGGTACGTTCGGGCCTGATTGGAAATTTTTATTTCCATCGCTATCAGGTTCGGCCTCATTTCCTCTGTGCTGCGCTGACGAGTCCACAAAGGACGAAACAGTTCTGTCCGCAGATTGAGTATTTCGCTCCTGCCCTTGTAGCAGTTGAGCACTCTTGCGTGGGGTAGTGCCTTTGCTGTTTGCGTTATGCAGAGCTCACTGACTTGTCAGTTTGAGCACTCTGGCAAGGTACGTTCGGGCCTGATTGGAAATTTTTATTTCCATCGCTATCAGGTTCGGCCTCATTTCCTCTGTGCTGCGCTGACGAGTCCACAAAGGACGAAACAGTTCTGTCCGCAGATTGAGTATATATATATATATATATATAACGTAACCTGTAGCTCTTTGGTCCTCTTATTTTCTTATAAATTGGCTTCCCACTAGAGTGAAATACATATTATTATGTATGTACTTCGAAGTAATAATTATCGCAAGGCGTAGTGGGAACACGGTCCAATTAGGAGAGAGTGTGTGATAGCCAACCATGGCACATAATTAGGGGTTGTGAGGGGAAATAAGGGACAGAAGTGATAATAAACTCTGTGGGGAGGGCGAATGTCGGTAAAGTCAGTCAAGAGCAACGGAGATACCGTAGAATCCCGCGGATAAGCCCACCCGCGTATTAGCCCATGCTCACGCATAAGCCCAGGAAACGTTCGAACATCACAAGGCTTCGTCGTACAAGCCCATGGGCCTAATTTGTACCAAAAGTCCATAAATTATGGACTCTTGGTCGTACCATGTACATGTAGGTAGTGCATGTAGTTTTTTGTTTGTTTGTTTGTACATTTCAACACAATCATCGGCTGTTTTCGTTTGAACAGTGGCTTTCAGCATTGCACTTCTCACTTCCTTGGTACTTTTCAATAGCACAATGTTGGTGTCAGCGTATAAGCCCATGCCCGCGTACAAGCCCATGTTCTTGTATAAGCCCACCGAAATGTCCTTGTGAAACAGATAAGCCCATGGGCTTATCCGCGGGATTCTACGGTATGAAGGATGTGAAGGATGTGAAGGATATGAAGGATATGAAGGGAGCGTGGATAATGAGCCAGGGGCGTAGCATAGCCCTTTTTCAGCCTGCTTCAGAAGGCCATGTGACTCGACATAGTGAACCCTTTTTTGCAGCTAAGGATACTGGCTCAGCCAGCTCATTTTATATTTGCAGTAAACTGCACAAGAGAGAATTCAACGAGTTTAATTCAGCAGTCTATACATCATTTATTCATTCATTCTTCTAACAACAACGACGCGACGACGGCGACTAGATGGAGACAGAGACGGAGAGGCAGAGACGGAGAGTGAGGGGGAGAGTGAGGGGGAGGCAGAGACGGAGAGTGAGGGGGGGGAGAGTGAGGGAGGAGGCAGAGATGGAGAGTGAGAGGGGGGGGGGGGAGTGAGGGGGAGGCAGAAACGGAGAGTGAGAGGGGGGGGGGAGAGTGAGGGGGAGGCAGAGACGGAGAGTGAGATGGGGGGGGGGGGTGAGGGGGAGGCAGAGACGGATAGTGAGAGGGGGGGGGGGGAGAGTAAGGGGGAGGCAGAGGCAGAGAACGAGAGGGGGGGGGGGGGGGGAGTGAAGGGGACGGGCAGAGACGAAGAGTGAGGAGGGGGGGGGGGGACATTATGGGGATTGTTATGATGGATAATTGACATGTAGTTATATACACAAACTGTTTGGGATGGATACGGGCTGGGCAAGTCGAGAGCCGTCACAAGAGCTTTAAATGTCCGCCAGTCGCCTTCCGTACGAACCGCAGCTGGGAGAGCATTCCACAGAATGCTCCCAACAGCCTGAATCGAGCGATGCCAGCGGGACCAGGGAGGAACGGAACTTTTAGCAGAGGTGAAAGAAGGTGATTAATTGTTTAAATGATTGGGAAATTTTCAAATTCAAAGGGCAGTCGGGGAAGTGAACCATTGTTGGTCCCCTGCTGGGGGAGGGAAAAAGACCCAAGTGCCAACAGTATGTGTGGCACGTGTTGTGAGCTGACTTCAGAGTTTAAAAAAACTTGAACTGTCAGCGCCTTCTAGGTTTGGACTGGTCCCATAGCAAAGATGGTTAGAGCATTGCTCGTTTCCTTTATTAACCTTCATTTTATCTCTTTTGTTTCTTTGTATAGTTGTTGGATGAAGCAAGGACCAGCCTTCTATGGTGGATTTGTGGCGCCTCTCGCTATCCTGCTCTGCTATAACATTGTTATTCTCGTCAGAGTCACGATGTCTCTGCGAAACCGTCAAGCATCTACGACCAAGAAAGGAGGAAAGAATAATTCTGCCCTGCGTGTCACGGTATCCCTATCTCTGTTGCTTGGTCTTACTTGGATCCTGGGCTTTTTCATTCTGATCCATGAACACAAAGCCTTACTATATATTTTTGTCATTCTCAACTCAACACAAGGTGTTTACTTGTTTGTTCATGTTATCATTGGAAAAGAAACCAGGAAGGGGCTCCGTGCCATCATTAACAAACCACGTCAGAACAAGAAAGCAGGCGAGATGGCAAAGCCCACCCGCTCAAAGCAGCCTGATACTGCCACAACGAGTGGGACCAACCAGAACACAATAGTCACGTGCAATAACACAATAGTCACGTGCAATAAGATATCGAGCAGTCACAGTAATTCCACATCAAGGGACATGTCCTGCACCACTGATGCAGCCGTTCAATACTGGAAAACACACCAAACGAGTAACAGTGACGACTTGCTTTCAGTATAGGATTGCAAGAAGATTTGGCCAATTTTGTTTGTATAAGTGTTTCATACTTCAGTTTCTTTATCCATGAGAGTTTTTGGATTTTTATTTGCGTGAGATGTTACATTTGACGACTCTAATTCGTCCTTTTTCATCCCACCACCGTACCGGCTGAATTTGTTGCATTTCATGTCCAGACTTTCGTTTGACTTACAGCTACAAAATATATGATACATTATCGATAAATAAATTCAATAAGGAACTCGGATGGAGTTTTTATAAATAAACTCAATGTCACATATTTCGTTTTTTTTGATGTGTTGTAGTTGATTGCCTCAACAGTACAATGTACAACGTCAAAGAGGGTCGAACAGAAAACAAAATAATTGAATGTCATCAGAAAGGGAGTGAGGGAGAAAAAAGGTCGAGGATTTTGTCGAAGCCCACTTACTGCAAGAAAGGTGGCTTATGATAAACTAACTGGCTGAAGTAGAATAGTTCGCCTCTCTCTCTCCACAAGTATTTGATACCATACTGCACGTTTATTTATTGCTTCAAGTTATAGATTTTGAATTTGTACGTCGTGTTCTTCGTTTTGAGACTTTGCTTACCGTTCTGTTCTGTTATCCATACTCTGCATTCTCCGCGCCTGCTCTGTTCCTTTCTTCTCTTGCTATTATCATGTTTCCTTTCCTCTCTGACTCACACTGACTGTCAACTTGTCTAGTTTCGAATTGTTTCATTGTCCGCCAGATCGCAGAGATCGTTTCCTGCATCGTAGCTCACGGTTACTTTTCGAACACATTTTTGCGTAGGCATTTTCACGAGTTATGTTGACGTCATGCGCTTTCAGCTACGCGTCAATATTGCGAGCATGCGCATTGCTTTTGCCTTCTGCCTTATTTGCATGCTGCGCTTGCTGCAAAGGTTAGCGTCCCCACGCTTGCTGGCCGAAGCCCCATTGACCGCGCCGCGTGCGTACTCGCACACGTCAGCCGGGCTTCTCCACGTCGCCTTGCCCCGCCCCCGCCGGTTCCGTGGAGTTCCGGTTTTATTTCTCCTTGTTGATTAGCTCTCCCAAGATTGAGTTGTTGTTTTCTATATCCTTACCTAACTAATTCTTTTCCAAGTATCAGTCCTTTTATTTACACTACTGTCAGAGTCCGCCGTTGTGAGTGCTGTGTGCATGTGCGGAGTAGTAGTGGTGAATAATTGTTGTGCGTGCGTTACACAACAGAGTGGTGCCGAAACCCGCCTTGGATTTGAGGATCGTTGGGTCGTTCGTGTTGTAGTGTTCACCTGTGTTGGTGCGTTTGTGGCAGTGGTCGGTGCCCGTGCTTGTTTCCCGCAAGCTGTTCTACTAGCGTTTAGTATCGTTATTCGTAGTGTGTTCTGTTCAGTATGAGTCTCAAGCTGGACAATTTCCTTCGTCCCTTCAAGGGCAAGGGGGACGATTTCAATGCATTTCGCTCGAAATTTGGTGTGTTGGCCAAAATATCAAAATGGACGTCGGATGACGACAAGATGAAACACCTTCCGCTCTTTCTGGACGGCGACGCGTTTCTTGTGTATGATCGATTGTCGGACACCGACAAGGCAGATCCGGATGTTGTGTTCGGCAAGTTGTCATCTGCGTTCGCCGTGACGAAGTCGCAGGCATACGGCCTGTTTGTACAGCGTAAGCTGAAACCCGATGAGTCGGTGGACGCGTACGTCGCCGATCTGCAGCGGTTGCTAGGCCTGTCTGGTCACAGCGCGACTGATGATGAGGATACTGTCGTGATAGAACAGTTCATCAGTGGGTTACCCGTAGAATTTATCCAGCCCCTGCGCATGGCCACTGCTGGGAAAAAGTTGAAAGTGTCCGAGTGCGTGGAGCAGGTACGTGCTCTACAAGCTACGCATGCTGATTGTACACGCAGTCCGATGGTGGTCGCCAGTGCTGCACCTGGAGGTAATGGAGGTGCGTCCCGCAGCGTATTTTGCCACCAGTGCCACGAGCCTGGACATATTCAGCGGAACTGTCCTCGCCGAAAGAGGCACCATGATCGGCATGGCGGTGGAGAACGAACATGCTTCTTCTGCGACAAGCCTGGCCATGTCAAGTCTACGTGCCCGGAGCGCAAAGCTTGGATGGCGGCTTCCGCTGGCAAATCTGCTGCCGGGGTGTCAAAAGCTGACAAGAAAGCCCCAGTCCTGTGCATTTCAAGTGCCTCTGGTCCTGGCACCCTCCCGAGAATGCATGCGGACGTACGTCGTTGTGGTGTCAAGTGTAACTGGGAACGTGTCACCGCTGTTATTGACAGTGGGTCAACCCATACACTGATCTCTGCTAGCTGCACCTCAGTACTGCCCGCCAACTGCCCGGTCGATCGCACGTCGAATGTGCTCGTTGCCTTGGATGGCCAACCATTGCCTGTCGTTGGGACTGTTCGCCTGACGCTGAAACGTACTGACGGCCCAGTCCATCTCTCACCAATCGAGGTTACAGCCACTGTCGTCAAGAGTTTGGATGCTGTGGATGCCTCCGTGCTAATCGGGACAGACCTCATTGCTGCAGCTGGTGGTCTCAGCCTACAGTATGACAATGACAACTTATTGTGTGGTGTCCGTTTCGGTCAGGCCGTGACTGCAGCTGTTCCAGGTACTCCTCCGATGGTGCATCCTTCTCCGTATGTGTCCGTAAGTTCTGATGGTGATGACACTGTGTTGCATACGGATGATGGTGAGGCCAGATGGCGCGCGGACAAGCAGTACTGGGAGGTGAAATGGTCCTGGAAAGATGATGTTGCACCCAGCGAGCCTGTCGGCCATGGCATCGGCGAGTATTCTCGCTCCAAGCTGACACCAGACCAAGAGGGTCTTTTCCAGGCCGAGGTTCAGAAGTGGCTGGATAGTGATTTCCTCGTTCCCCATAATCGGGAACTTCATGGTGACCCTGTGGCTGTTCTACCCTTGCTGGCTCAAGTACAGGAGCACAAGGGCACCACACCGGTCAGACCGTGTCTGGACTATCGTCTCCTGAACCGCCGTCTTACTTCGCAGCCTGGTCGCGATGCTCCTGTGTGTGAGGAGGCCCTCCGACGCTGGCGAAGTGATGGCCGCCCTGAAGAGTACTGTTTGCTTGATATCCGCAAGGCGTATCTACAAGTTCGTGTCGCTCCGGACTTGCTGAAGTTCCAGACAGTGATGTGGAACGGCCGTGTCTACACTATGACTCGGATGGGCTTTGGCCTCAATGTCGCCCCGAAGCTGCTGACGATGATTGTCCAATGGGTCACGCGCGACTTTGCAGGCGTCGATAGTTACATCGACGATATCCGCACGCCCATTGCATGCCGTGATGCACTCGCTACTCGTTTAGCCGAATTTGGTCTCCCGACGAAACCTGCCGAGCCACTCATCACTGCTCGTGTTCTTGGTCTGCAGCTCGCTCAGGACGACAATGGCATTGTTAACTGGTCGCGCCGCGCTGGTGTCGATCTACAGCTGCCTCGGCCTGCTACCAAGCGCTCGTTATTTAGCTGGTGTGGTCGTTTGACGGGCCATGTTCCTATCTGTAACTGGCTCCGTCCCGCTTGCAGCTTCATCAAGCGCCTGATTGGTGCGAGCACCGCCTGGGACGACCCGGTCCCCGATAATGTGTTGCGGCTCTGCACGGAGGTTGAAACCAAGCTGCAACAGCATGGTGACCCTGCACGTGGTCGGTGGTGGACGAGCCCTGACGGTGGTTCTGACTGTGCTGTGTATGTCGATGCATCTGATGTTGGCCTGGGTGTAGTCGTGTCCGTTGATGGCCAAGTGATGGAAGATCGCTCGTGGCTACGTCCGAAAGACGACAAGCGACATGTCAATGTCGTTGAGCTGGAGGCTGCAATCAAGGGCCTTTCTCTCGCCGTGGCCTGGAAATTCTCTTCTGTCCGTCTGGTCACCGACTCGAAAACATCAGCTGCCTGGCTCCGTGATGTCGTCAACAATGTGCGCCGTGTGAAGACAAGCGGCCTGTATGATGTCCTGGTTCAACGCCGCCTGCAGATCATTGCTGACCTGATTGTCAGCGCACAGCTCCGTGTCACCATCGAGTGGGTAGCATCTGCCGCCAACCCTGCTGACGTCCTGACTCGAGTCCCTGCTACGTGGATCCAGCTGAGCAAGAAGTTGACCGCTACTGCTGAAGCACCTGCCAGTGTTAGTGCTGCCGTGACAACTCCGGTTGCCACCATTGTTGGTCCTGTGCTGTTGACTGACATTACTTCTGCTCAGAGTACTGACCAACTGATTCAGACTGTGATCACTCAACTCGAGCAGGATCTGCCTGTTGCTCGTGAGTACAGCAAGGTGAGACCCCAGTTAGTGGTCTGTGATGGTGTTCTGTTTCGCAGTGTGAAGTTGCCTGTTGACGGCCTTGTGCTAGTGCCTGTCATTCCAGTCTCGGTTATCTCTTCTGTGCTGTCTGCCGCTCATGTCAATTCTGGCCATGGTTCGTGGTCCACGATGTATAGCTTGCTGCGCTGTCGCTGCTTCTTCCCTGGCATGGGTAGTGCATGCGAGGAGTTTGTTGCCAATTGCGCTGATTGCCGTGCTGCCAGTCCTCTGCGGGGACCTGCTGCTGCTGCCTCTCGACCCGATATCCCCGGTCGTCCGTGGGGCGAGGTCACTATCGACACTCTTGAACTTGGTCTAGACAAGAGTGCGACTCATCATTGTGTCTTGGTTTGTGTCGACTCATTTACGAAGTGGGTTGAAGTCATCCCTCTGCGTCGTCATGATGCCGTGTCTGTTGCCGCTGCTTTCGCTGGTGTATGCAAGCTCTGGGGTGCCCCCGACATTGTCCGCATGGATAACGGCACGGAATTTCGTAATGCCATTGTGGAGTCGTTGTTCAGTCTCATGGGTGTCCGTGTGCGTACCGGTGCTGTTCGACACCCTCAATCGCAGGGCTCTGCTGAGCGTGCCAATCGTACTCTGCTCGGCCTCATCCGGAAAGTCCTCGATGGCTCTTCGGACTGGAGGGGTGAATTGGATATGCTCCTGTTTTTCTATCGCAATCGACCTCACAGTGCCACTCGCCTGTCGCCGATGGAAGCCATAGTGGGCTGGAAACCCCCTCACTTCATTATTGCCGACACCGCTGAAGCGTGTAGCCTCAGTGACTGGGCCACGAAACATGCAAAGCGGTCTGCTCGGATTCGTGATCTGATCGATGCTGAGCTCTCGGCGAGCGACTTCGTCGAAGAAGAGTCACACTGTCCCTATGCTGTTGGTGATCACGTGATGTTGCAGCGCCCAGATCGCCATCAGAAGCGCCTTGCACCCTATGAGCGTGGCTGGAAAGTGAAAGCAATCGTAAGTCCAATGACTGTGGTGATTGAAAAGCCAGGTTCGGACAACCGCCGAGTGTCCGAGAAGGTTATCAACATTGCCTTGTTGAAGAAGGATCTTCCCGATGCTGCTGATGTAGCTGCCACAGAGGCTAGCCTGAATAGTGACGAGGAAGATGACAATGGTATTGGTGTCACCATTGATGTTGCTCCAACTGCCGGATATGCGCTACGACCTCGTGGCCAGCTCCAGGCGCCAGCACGTTACCGTGAGTGAGTATGACTATGGTATCAGGGGGAGAGGTGAAGTAGAATAGTTCGCCTCTCTCTCTCCACAAGTATTTGATACCATACTGCACGTTTATTTATTGCTTCAAGTTATAGATTTTGAATTTGTACGTCGTGTTCTTCGTTTTGAGACTTTGCTTACCGTTCTGTTCTGTTATCCATACTCTGCATTCTCCGCGCCTGCTCTGTTCCTTTCTTCTCTTGCTATTATCATGTTTCCTTTCCTCTCTGACTCACACTGACTGTCAACTTGTCTAGTTTCGAATTGTTTCATTGTCCGCCAGATCGCAGAGATCGTTTCCTGCATCGTAGCTCACGGTTACTTTTCGAACACATTTTTGCGTAGGCATTTTCACGAGTTATGTTGACGTCATGCGCTTTCAGCTACGCGTCAATATTGCGAGCATGCGCATTGCTTTTGCCTTCTGCCTTATTTGCATGCTGCGCTTGCTGCAAAGGTTAGCGTCCCCACGCTTGCTGGCCGAAGCCCCATTGACCGCGCCGCGTGCGTACTCGCACACGTCAGCCGGGCTTCTCCACGTCGCCTTGCCCCGCCCCCGCCGGTTCCGTGGAGTTCCGGTTTTATTTCTCCTTGTTGATTAGCTCTCCCAAGATTGAGTTGTTGTTTTCTATATCCTTACCTAACTAATTCTTTTCCAAGTATCAGTCCTTTTATTTACACTACTGTCAGAGTCCGCCGTTGTGAGTGCTGTGTGCATGTGCGGAGTAGTAGTGGTGAATAATTGTGCGTGCGTTACACAACATGGCAAAGCATGAACGCAGACAAAAGTTACGATCATCGGAAAAATAATCGACGAGGAGACGATAGTCGTTAATGGCAATAATTTAGAAAGAATATTCGAATGTGACAAACCGAACGAATGTTCGAATATTCGTTTCACCACAAGTTACGCTTTTTTAATGTCCACCATCTCTCTCTTTCTCTCTCTCTCTCTCTTTCTCTCCCTCCCTCCCTCCCTCTCTCTCTAAAAAAAAGCACTCTTTGGACAGTGGAGCACGCTACTTGATTACAAACACACATGCACACATACACACGCACACACACAAACACAAACACAGACTCAGACATGCCCCATTGCGGAAGCGATGATGGCGAACAGCTCCTATTTTTCATTCTTTTTTTTCTTTTTCGACACACATACACCGCACCACATACTCCGGCATACACTGGCTGTTGGTAACCACCCAGAAGAATGAAAGAAGAGCTGGAGAATGAGAAAGAGAAGAAAGACACGTGCGACCATAATTGTCGGGAATTGAACCCAGGGCCTGCTCTAGACATTCCGCACAGCCCGGTCAGAGTGTACCTGGCGCATGCAGGCCAGCCGGGTCAAGCCGGGTCAAGCCGGGTCAGATCAACCGGCAGAAAAACAACCAAAAACCCTGCTCAAAACGCAGGAAAACAGAAAGGCGAATTTTTTCGTCTTCCTTTGGAAATGCGTCTTGCACAAAGCCCATTACATCAAGAGTACATAACCCCCTTACTCTTGATGACATGGATAGACTGGCATGGTCGTAGTCCAGCCAGGGTCGACCTTTCTTCCAAGAGTCTTGGAAAGCGTGAGTTCTTTTTCTCTTCGCTGCGGGCTCGATGGTCCAAATCACCAGTCGGCTGAAATAGTGAAAACTTGCAACTGTGTCAAAAGCTATAGCCAAAGTTACCATGGTTACGCTTTTGACTGCCTGCCCCATCATCGACTTTGAGTTTGAATGTCCTGACTTCCTGCTCGCCGCTTGCCAGATCGCGCTCGAACCAGTTGACCCCATGCCATGGGCCCATGCCCCGTTGACCCTAGCCGAGTTTCTGTCGCTTGTAGACTGGTGTGTACGCTAGATTTGCAACAGATGGGGTCCGCGAGTCGTAAAATACCGGTATTTTAGGAATCCATTGTCAGTTTGAGACATTTTTCAGCCGGGTCAGACTGGACCCGGTCTTATCTGTTCAGCCAGGTCGCTCAGTTCCCCAGCCGGGCGCGTGACCCGGCTGACCCGGCTCTCCAGCAGGCCCTGGAACCCACAACCTCTCCATTGGAAATCGATTGCACATACCACTGCACCGTATGGGACACACATACACACACACACACACACACACACACACACACACACACACACACACACAAACACACACACGCACACACACCACACACACACACACATACACACACACACATAAAAGGACACACAAATGGACACACACACACACACTCTCTCTCTCTCGCATAGGCTCAGACACAGACACAGGCACACATGCAAAATTGATCGGCCTGCGCTAGCGTAAGTCGGTCAGAAATAGAAAGATGGTGATAAAAAATTCATTTTAAATAGGATGGTAAAGTTGTTCAAAAGCATTACTGTGGATATAGCGTGAACACGTGTAAGAGTTGTTTTCAAATTCTGAACATCAAATTCACAGAATTGCCGGCCTAACATAAACACACTGGTGAAAAATTGATGAATTTCAAAACCTAATACACTTTTGCCTCAGCTGCTGCCGACACTTAAAAACGAAAACAAATTGCAAATTGAATGTATTGTCAGCAAGCACCATGTGAAAAGGCATTTTAAAGAGAGGTGCTTGACGTCCAGAACACCAGGAAAAATGAATGAAGAGTATGAATGGGTGTATTGAAAAGGTGTTGATTGCATGCATGCATTGCAAGCAACTGAGCTGCTACATATTGGCACCCTGCTGAGTCCCGAAGATTTGATATACTGCTGAGAGAATTGCCAATCAAGTTATAGTACGATGATGCCACTAGCAAGGGAAGAGAAATGCCAGATGGTGTGCCACCAGTAAGGGAAGAGAGATGGCGTGCTACAAGTTGCAGTACACAAACACGCCGGATATGACACATCCGGGTCGGCTAAAAAACAACAAAATGGATGTCGGAAATCAAAACAGGAAAACTGAAAACAAAAATTATTGCTCAAGTGATGGAGAAGTGGGGCAAAGAAGGCGAGTACATGCAGTCACGCAGCAGAATACGAATGCACATGACGCTGCAATGGCCATGACCAAGAACAATCGGAGGAGAGGAAGACGAGAATGACACACACACACACCGGATATCACACATGCAGGTCGGCTAAAAAACAACAGCAAGGATGTCGGAAATCAGAACAGGAAAACTGAAAACAAAACTGATGGTTCAAGTGAAGGAAAGAGGAGAAGTGGGGCAAAGAAGGCGAGTACATGCAGTCATGCAGCAGAATACGAATGCACATGATGCTGCAATGGCCGTGACCAAGAACAGTCGGAGAAGAGGAAGACGAGAATGACACGCAAGGGGAAAACAAAGTCGAGAATGACATGCGAGGGGAAAATGAAGACGAGAATGACATGCGAGGGGAAACGAAGACGATAATGACATGCGAGGGGAAAATGAAGACGAAAATGATATGTGAGGGGAAACGCTTACATGATAACTTCAATGTTGCAAGGAGAGAAACATGTGGCTGTGCGTCATGCAGTGATGACCATGGCGAATGGATTCGAAGTGGAGATGTTGAGCATGGCGAATGGATTCGAAGTGGGGATGTTGAGCATGGCGAATGGATTCGAAGTGGAGATGTGAAAAGCAATCGTATTCACTTGCTCTCTCCTAGCAACGAAATGCACTGAAGTCCAGCTTGAAAATGCAGAAAAGAACATGGAAAACACAGATGTGGTGAGTCAATGGTTGAAGGAGTGAGAGAGAAAGAGAGAGAAAGATAGGGAGAGGGAGAGGGAGAGGGACAGGGAGAGGGAGAGAGAGGTTTGGTAATGGAGCGAGGAAAAGCTGAAGCAAGAAATAATGTACAGCATAAGACGGTGATATCGAAGGTTTCAACTTAACTTTTTAGCAAGACAAACTTGGCGTTTGACTTTGCACTCCGTCAGGCGAAATTACTGGTCAGTCGGCGTCACGCATTTTTCACAAAAATTTGCGTTTCACCTGCTGGGAGAGTATGCGTGTACTCGAGTCTCATCCTGAGCCCGTTTTTTTCTTCTTTTTTTCAGCTCTAGTATAGCTGTATTTTTCATTGCAAAGCCGTCCTCGATTGTTGTGTTCGTTGTTCAAACGAAGTGGACATTCAATCATGAAGGCAGAGGACATAGGAGCCTGATTGGAGTTTCTCGTGGCATAGGACGGCCACACAGAGACACTTTGGGATTTTCTGAATATAAAATACCGTACGCACGATGCTGAGATCAATTTGTGCGATATCAAATTGTTTGTGATCTACCACATCGAGCAGAATGGGATCCAAACACAAGCTTACCGACGGTTAGGCTGCCGACCTGAATGGACAAATGATCCCTGGCTTCACCAGACGCCAGAAGTCGGAGACCATGTTCTTTGCCGCGACGTCCATCTCCAAAAAGAACTCCTTCTTCGCCGTGAAAAGGCTTGAAATACTCAATATTCAACCGAGATTCGCGGACTCGCGCTTTCTCGGATCGATTAATTTCCTGTTGGAACAGTTGCAGGGCAGCTTCCCGCCACTGTTTCAACAGGCGATGGCTCCAAAGCAAGCCTGGAACAAGCCATATCGAGGTTGCAAGCCACCCCTCTCAGCAAAAATTCGAAGAAATTTGAAATTTCAGTGGTGGAAGATATACTATGAAGAGAATTTCAAAAAGTATGTTTCGCGGAGCGATCGCTCAACCTACGTCATTCAAACTTTGCAGGATGGTTCAGACGTACATGCTAGGCATGGAACCACAGGCGATGATGCCATAGCTGACACACAGAGTAACACACACAGCAGATTCGTGTGCACAGATACTAAATTAGTGGACGTCGTCATCTTCTTCCTGCTGATCTCGAATGTACTATGACGTGCTATTTCGCCTGACGCCGATGCAAGTGCAATTCAGTGATGAAATTTGCAATGTGATGAGGGTTAGCACACGGGATGTGAGCTTGTATAACGTCGACAGGTCGTACCGTATTTTAGAGAGTAACAGCCGTACTTTAAACACGAGTAATTCACACCAAAAACATCAGAAACAACAGGGCGCTTTATACTATGATGGTGAAAGTGACGGTGATAGTTTAGTTGTGTGTTCAGTACATCAGTACATCAGTACATCAGTACATCAGTACAGCAGCACAGCAGTACAGCAGTACAGCAGTATAGCAGTACAGCAGTATAGCAGTACAGCAGTACAGCAGTACAGCAGCACAGCAGTACAGCAGTACAGCAGTACAGCAGTACAGCAGTACAGCAGTACAGCAGTACAGCAGTACAGCAGCACCTCAGCACAGCAGCACAGCAGTACAGCAGTACAGCAGCACAGCAGTACAGCAGTACAGCAGTACAGCAGTACAGCAGTACAGCAGCACAGCAGTACAGCAGTACAGCAGCACAGCAGTACAGCAGTATAGCAGTACAGCAGTATAGCAGTACAGCAGCACAGCAGTACAGCAGTACAGCAGTACAGCAGTACAGCAGCACAGCAGTACAGCAGTACAGCAGTACAGCAGTACAGCAGTACAGCAGTACAGCAGCACAGCAGTACAGCAGTACAGCAGTACAGCAGTATAGCAGTACAGCAGTACAGCAGTACAGCAGCACAGCAGTACAGCAGTACAGCAGTATAGCAGTACAGCAGTACAGCAGGTTTTCATGAAGGGTATCATCAGTAGATGGATTAGGCGGTATGGTCGCTTTGCCCCCCTCCCCCCCCCCCCCCACATTGCATTGTGTGGGAGAAAGTAATTTTGAAAACGGGTGTCATTCAGTTGTTCGTTGCTGCAGCCTATATTTTCTTTTCCTGGCTAAATGTTGTGTAACATGGGAGAAGAGTGCAGTGTGGAGTGGTAGAAGAGTGCAAAGTGGAGTGGTGAAATGGTGGAGTGGTTCAAGCTAGAACCCTGAACACGTAGTGAGTTTATCATTGTGCTGACACAAATCCACGATTCGTGTTCCAACTGCTTTCCCCGACATTCCATACAGTGAAACATTTCTACAACTTACCCTGATGGAAAGGCAAAGGTTTCCGACAATTCCACTGGTCACTCTTCTACACTGCCTCGACAGAAGTTCTGGGTCTTCTGCATCGTGTGATGATACAGGCATACACGCACCATCACACACATGCACATAGGCACACACATGTACACACACACGGACATACATGCACACGAACACACACACACACACACACACACACACACACACACACGCACACACACACAAGCACGGAAACATGAAAACACGAAAACATGATAAGCGGCTTAGCCCCTTGTGACCCCACTGACCACACACGGTTTCATTATCGTCTGTAAAGAAGTGGATTTGACAATTTCGGTCTTCCTGGAAAGGTAGGGTGTGAGGAAGGAGTTTTTGATTGCTCCGATCAACATACCATAGCCCTTCAGCCTTAGTGTATGATACAGCGGGCATACATGACCTACTGGTACGGCGGGCATACATGACCTACTGGTACGGCGGGCATACATGACCTACTGGTACGGCGGGCATACATGACCTACTGGACAGTCAACAGATACACGGTTGGTGGACAAAGGGTTGGACGGACCAAGCTTTAGTTTGTGGCCTCCCGCTTCGCTGCACTTGCAGATAAGGTCGACGTCTTCATCAGAGTTTGAGGCAGACCCTTCAGCACTCAACAAGACGCTGAACAAGACGCTCGTTCCAATTCAGGTCATGATACTTCGTTTTCAAGAGATCCATGCCTCCAGGTGGCAGGCGATGACGGCAAACTACTGAAGTAGCATTTTTCAAGTACACTGTAACGACCTTCCAGCGAGATAGGGTAAGCAGTTCCGCACCTTCTTTCCTTGGCAAGCGCTTCGCTGATTTTGTTGGTGTTTTCAGACCCGCTACCTTCGCAGCAACATGCGCCACAACTAGAGCATTTTAGGAGATTGAGAACACGTTGTTCTTGCCATTGTCAACTTCAGCATTTCGAATTCAGAAGAGATACCAGGATTCTTTTACCCGAGCTTGCAGTCTGGATAAATGCCCATGCGAACGATGTAGGCCGGCACGAATTCCAGAAGAAAGATACCCGCTCTGGGGCGAAATAGTGCGGAGCGCGATGAATTTGTTTGGTGCGGAAGACAGCTCCGAGACCACCACGGCTTCAGTAACAAGTAGACATTGCGCAGGAAGGGTAGCACCCATGTTCGAACACAGAAAACAGCGATTCCGACAGTCTGACTAAGACGAGCAAGTCTCCTTGACTGCAAGTGATTCTTCCAGCAGCCACACTGTCATGCTCAGAATTCCTGGGGGAGAAGAGAGGGAAAAGGGGAATCCCCCCCCCCCCCAAACTGGTCACTTTATCCAGTCGACAGCCGTGTCTGTCCAGTTGGGTTGGGATAATATTTAGATTGCAGAAACCGGTTAATACGAGATGGATTTAGAACAGTTTAAACATGCTTATTAACATTCTGATTCGATGTTTTCTGATTCCTAGAACCCTAATATTGGTGGTAAATGCACACCTGGCAATAAGGCGGCAAATACACGCCTGCCCACACACGCTCTCTGTAGGTCGCAAAGTTTCTCTGGCACAGAGCTCTCCTTCTCACCACCACCACCGCCACCGCCACCGCCACCACCAGCACCAGCACCACCACCACCACCAGCACCACCACCAGCACCACCACCAGCACCTCCACCACCATCAGTTCGCGAATGGCGCCTAGTCGATGCATGGTTAGTGGTATCCGACATAGCAGGTTGGTACATCAGGTAGCGCATGGCGCAAAGCAGTTGACATAGCAACGACTTAGCCAGGTGTGTATTTACCAGTATATAAATCAACCGTACATGTAAGTACAAGTACAGGTACAGGTCCAGTGGAGGGTTCAACAGCATACTTGTACTAGAAAACCACAATTCTCTCGCTGATTAATGCCTCTAAGATCACCTTGTGATTATGAGTTATACATACATACATACATACTAGAAAACCAATACCACTATATCGAGTTCAATTGTTCACGTCACGTCAATTGTTCACGTCACGTCAATTGTTCACGTCTCAAATCGTTATAGACTCAATGTTGACATAGCTATTGTGGTCAAGGAAGGCATACACACACACACACACACACACACACACACACACACACACACAGCACACGCAAACACACACACACACACACACACACACACACACACACACACACACCGGGACTAAAACAAATACACACATACACGCACACACATAATACAAACATACAAACACACAGACACAGACACACATACACGCACACGCATACAGACACAGACACACATGCACACACACACATGCACACTTCGCAGAGAGTCCCACTGGACACAGACACAAACGCTGGTCGGTAGAAAGCCACCGGTCATTGGTCAACACAATCACTACTGAAGCACCATTACCAACTAATATAGCATTGGCTGTCCTTCATACCACTAACATGACGTGTATTGTCAGCAGACAACCGCCATGCTGGATTAAGAGCGTATTAAATACTTCACAAGGCAATGTCAGCTGCTAAGTGTGTCATTTCATTAAATTTTTAAATCATCACACAATCTCTCAGCTGACACTGTTATAGCCGCTAGCATGTCCCACTCATTACAATGTGCCGTGCTGAAACAAACACATCTCGTACCTTGCTGTACACAATTACAGGTGTGTAGTCTGTTCGAGGCGGCTTACTGCCACGTATAGAACTGTCATAGGAGTCTTGATCCGAGGCTAGTCCAACACTTTCAGCAGTGGGGTTGGCTAAGACTCGTTTTGGTTCAACATCCTAGGCAGCAGAGAAAACATAATGTATGTGTGTTTGTCCGTGTGTCCGTATGTGTGTGTAAGTGTTTAGGTGTTGAATAAATCTCCCCCATGACGTGATACAACCCAGGTGGCATCATGCGAGTACACGGCAGAAAGGAACGAGACACAGCAGAAACAGACACAGATAATACTCAAGGAACAAACTAGTGCATCTGTGTGTGCACGTGTGTGTGTGTGTGTGGGGGGGTGTGTGTGTGTGAGAGAGAGAGAGAGAGAGAGAGAGAGAGAGCCATAGTTATTGGAGAAGCCGTCTAGGCTGGATGATTTCAGTTTTTTCGCAGTTAGAATTTCAGCAGTGGTTAATTTAAAGTCCACTTCCATCAGTAATATTCTGGCTGCTGGAAGAAACAGCTAATCAGAGGCACAGTGTCAAGTTTTAATCTCTCTTGGAGTCAATACATTTTGGTGTGATCATTTTTCACACTTACACATTCAGCCTGAGTCAACTGACGTTCATGGTAGCCATGGGGGATTAGCCACAAATATAGACACATGGACACATGAACAAACGGTCACACAAACAGATCGACACGCACACAGACACACACATCGAAAAAACGGACAAACAGACACACACAAAGTTCCGCACAAACACACACATGCACGAACGCAAGCACGCACACACGCATGCACGCACGCACACACACACACACACACACACACACACACACATACACACCCACAGGTTCCAACATGCCAAAGCAAGCAAGAAGTGATGAGTACAGCTAGAGACATTTGATATCACAAGTAAGACAGAGGAGATTGAATCTCGACATTGATGAACATATACGGAATGCTTTTACTATAGTTAACTCGTATACGGAGCAAATAATCAAGTTAGGATTAAAAAGGACACATTGGTCCTAACTATGAGCCATTATCCCACACTACATTATGGTCAGCAGTCAGAGTGTGCCATAACTGAGCACAAAACTGACAGGGCTACTAAGACATTCAACGACCTGAAATCTAGCTTCAACCCATGTCCAGCGCGCAAGCCAGCAGCCTTCAAACTTGGTAGGGTCAAGGTTAATTTAAAAAAAAGGTACGACCAAGTCATACGTCGGCATCATAACTGTTTCTTTTAGCGTAGATTTATTCATGGTGTCGCATTATAACTACTTCTCTTAGTATGAATTATTCCTTGTGTGTTTGTGCTCATGCATGAGGGCAACGTCAGACAATGAGCAGTCAATAGTCAGTCACTCGCATCAAATCTAGTCGAACAGGAATTTGAATCAGTTATTTCACTCCCAAAGGGTTATGGGTGTGTCGGAGTACTACCACACAGCCTGGGCATAGTGTGACCGCTGTCACCAGACACTACACGTCTAAGAAGACAAGTTGATATAGCATGACACTTTAAAACACATGCCTTAGAAGACAAGTTGACATAGCATGATACTTCAACATATGTCTTAGGAGACGAGTTGACATAGCATGGCACTTTAACACATGTCTTAGGAGACGAGTTGAAATGGCATGGAATGTCAACACATGTCTTAGAAGTTGACAAAACGCTTCAAACCCCTCTCTGGCACACTGTACCGACTTATCAAAACATCCTTCTTTCCCTGTGGATTTGCATATGTGTGTGTGTATGTGTGTGTGTGTGTGTATGTGTGTGTGTGTACGTGTGTGTGTACGTGTGTGTGTACGTGTGTGTGTGTGTGTGTGTGTGTGTGTGTGCTTTTAAACAGCTGTGTGGTGGATACCAGGCTAAAATTAGTGGCGGTCAATTCATCAGCCTTACAAGCTGTTGAATGGTGTAATCCCACCACAAGTTGCTATGTCTAACATAGCTGTTCGCTATCATCGCTTCCGCGATGGGCATGTCTGAGGTCTGAGGTGTGCTTTACAGCGCATGGAGGAGGAGAGTTTGTATATAGTAGATCACATAGAGTTAAAGGGGAAGTTAAGGCAAAAATTAAAATTTCACCAGTTGTAGTCTTCGGGGTGGTGAGTCGAATGGTCTTGGTCCGAGAAAGCTGAGACGCTCCCTTCCTACTTGAATCCCAATCGAACTCGCGCACTTCCACCGAAACTGGGTGACTGCGCCCTACTAGATGGGGATTTGTATGCAAAATGTCACTAAAAGCGCCGTTTCGTTCTTATCCCCTTTAGCGCGAGCGTCGTACTAGTACGACGCACATGAGTTGCATGCCCCACGGCCGTCGTACTAGTACGACGCGCGCTGTACACTGTACACTGAACCTGCATCTCAGTCGTGGGGTCCGTGTTGAGTCCATAGTGACTTGTTCAAACTATCGTAACTCACTCAATACTTGGTCGATTCTCACAATCGAAACATGTATCTGCAAGAGAAAACTCTCAGCTGGCGATAGAAACAATTGCCGAAGCGATGTGACTACCGGTTGTTGAGATATGCGACTCGACACGGCAAATTTCAACTCGATTTTTTTGCGCAGTCTGCAGAACGCGTATTTTCCATCATGGATCATTTGTGCGCTACCTGCTGCCATGGAAACAATATTCAAATGATGGTAGTGGATCCCGTGAGTCCTCACAAAAAAATTGAGCTCGATACGAGCAAGGAGACCGAAATGGCAGCTGAATATTTGAGCTTGGTTAGTCTTGGCCGTGCTCAAGTCTGTCGAGCGCGTGGATGAAGTTTGCCAGACTGTAGCACGGGGTTTTGGTTTCGCTCCGAGCTAGGTTTGACACCAGTTTGTCACACGTCTCAAGACCTTTCCAGGAAGCTCAAGATCGTGGAATTCGTCCAAGGGAAGGTAAAGTTATCGATCCTTGAGCAGCTAGTACTTTCATGGGAAAATGCGACTTTTACAGGTGTTGTCGTGGGGCGCGCTCAGGTAGCGTCGTGCTAAAGAGGTTATAAAAGCAAGGATGACCGCGATTGGCCCATATGTTGTAGTCTTTTGGACGCTGAGTCGACTGGTTTTGGTCCGAAAAGGCTGCGATGCAGCGTTCCTCCTTTATTCCCAATCGAACATGGTTGAACAAGTGGTCACGTGCTCCTGCGTACACCAGTCAGCTGGTCACCGTGCCTGCAGGGTACAACTTACTAGCCTGTTTGACCTTTTTTTGGGTGCAGTCCTGTCACTGGAGTTGAACCTTGGTGTGAAAGTTGTCGCCTGCTGGCGTGGTGACCAGGTGATTTGGGCACCCAGGAGCACGTGACCACTTGTTCAACCATGTTCGATTGGGAATAAAGGAGGAACGCTGCATCGCAGCCTTTTCGGACCAAAACCAGTCGACTCAGCGTCCAAAAGACTACAACATATGGGCCAATCGCGGTCATCCTTGCTTTTATAAGAACGAAACGGCGCTTTTAGTGAGATTTTGCATACAAATCCCCATCTAGTAGGGCGCAGTCACCCAGTTTCGGTGGAAGTGCGCGAGTTCGATTGGGATTCAAGTAGGAAGGGAGCGTCTCAGCTTTCTCGGACCAAGACCATTCGACTCAGCACCCCGAGGACCACGACTGGTGAAATTTTAATTTTTGCCTTAACTTCCCCTTTAAAGAGTATGGACGTTATGTACGCAGGGTAAGTCGTTAGTGTTATGCCATGCCTCGACTTTCCCAACACATCTCAAGTGATGACGTAATCGCATAACACCAATACATGTATGTCTACATCCACCCTTTTGTACCACACGAGCGGAGAGATGCATATTTACCTAGGTAATGTAAAACCGGAAAATTTCGGTGGAGATATATTTTGGTAACTTCGGTGCGGGTAATTTTAGCCTAAAATAAAACGCACCGAAAATGCATGCCTGCAATACGGAAGACTGATTTACCGAAATGTTCGCGCCAACGAACCGTTGACTTTTGGGAAATGCCGAAAATACTACACCACTGAAAATTCCCGGTTTCACAGTACATACACGACCACGCCATGCACTGTTCTGCAAATGTCAAACCAGCTGTATGAACCAGCATAGCTCATCTCCATGGAGACAAAGAACACTGCAGAACGCAAACCTTTTTGGTCAGAAAGACTTCCGTATACACTGGCCCTGCGACGGCTGCTGGTAGCGATGCTGCTCGAGCTTCTTCCTCCGACTGGAACACAGGAGTGGTTGCACTTGTTCCAGCCGATGACACACTCGCGTCAGTGATTGGAGTGGTGGCGGATTTGTAAGCGGCGGTGACAGTGGTTGACTTGGGAGTGGCGGCCAGGTTGGTGTTGGGTGTGCTGACCATGCTGGTGGTTGCAGCAGCGGTCATCAAATCATCCTCTCCAGCATCGTTGGCAAGACAGAGCTGAAAGAATAGCAAAAGGCGGGCAATGTTTACAAACTCGGATGGAGAGCCGAGGATTAAAATTTTAATAGAAACGACCCAAAGTTCCCAAGCTACCCGTAGTTATCCAACACTGGCAATCATAAGCATGATATGGATGAGTCATAAGCATGATATGGATGAGTCATAAGCATGATATGGATGAGTCATAAGCATGATATGGATGAGTCATAAGCATGATATGGATGAGTCATAAGCATGATATGGATGAGTCATAAGCATGATATGGATGAGTCATAAGCATGATATGGATGAGTCATAAGCATGATATGGATGAGTCATAAGCATGATATGGATGAGTCATTACATACAACAGTTAGCACAATGATGATTGCTGTCGTACTGACATTCAACCACCTGACGTTCATGAGGCAGATTTGGTCGTGTGATAGATTAGATCATGCGACCACTAAGGTCGAGTGAAAGGTTAGGTCATGTGACAGCTAAAGTCATGTGACAGCTAAAGTCATGTGGTAGCTTACTAGTAGGTCAGTTGACATATTAGGACATCAATAGGTCATGCGACAGCTAAGGTCATGTGACAGGGTAGGTCATGCGACAGGGTAGGTCACGTGACAGGGTAGGTCATGTGACAAGGTAGGTCATGCGACAGCTAATATCATGTGACAGGGTAAGTCGCATACACTTACGTCATGTGGAGCCATATAATCATTGTCGGCTGCACGTTCAACAGCGGCATCTGGGATCCTGTTGGGGCGATGAAGAGACAGCTCCTGAACACACCACACCACAACACAGTAGAGTAGCAAGCACATGAAACAAAGATCATAAAGGGTTTGCTGCCTTCAAAGAGAATAAATAGCAAGCAGATTTTCGACTTCGTCGCCAGATGACGTGTACTTGAATTTTCGCGATTCATGTTGTCGCTGCTCAATCAAACTATGTTCTAAAGCAGAGAACTTCACACCACTGGACAGCTGAGTTCAAAACCTTTCCAGTGGTGGATTGTTTGTAAAAGATCTTCCGCAAATCACCGGAGTTATGAGTGCTTGTACAATGATTAATACACTGCATAGAAATAGATCGAGATATCTTGTCATCTGGCGCCCGGGTCACTTTACAAAGCGACATATCTCATCATCAGCAATGTTAGGGTTACCAGACACTGAGGAACACTAACATACCAGTACCTCATTGCCAGAGCCAGGTGGAGTTGCCATGGCACCCGTAGATGATGGCACAGTGCTGGTAGGGTGTGCTGTGAGCTCTATATTGTCGTAGTTGTGACCCTGGGATGTATGCAGTGCTGATGGCTGAGCACTGCTAGCGGCTGCAGTAGATTCCTGTATAAACACACACCACACGCAAACACACACACCACACGCAAACACACACACCACACGCACACACACAAACACACACACCAGGCAAACACACACACACACACACACACACAAACAAACACACACACCACGCAAATACACACACACACACACACACACACCACACGCAAACACCACACGCACACACCACGCAAACACACACCACGCAAACACACACCATGCAAACACACGCAACGCGAAACACACCGAGAAAGTGTTACATATTGCAGTGTAAGTACAGAGGCAGAGAACTGAGGAGGATGTGTACAAAACAAGGCCGGTCGAGGTGGCTCGAAGCAGAGTGCTCAATGCACAAACGTGCAGAGCAGTACACACACACAACGGAGGCGAAAGGCTGTGTAGCTGTAATTTCAAGTTTCACACATTTCAGCGATCATCGCCAGGAGCGTAGCTGGTCCCCCTTTCGTGTGTGTGTGTGTGTGTGTGTGTGTGTGTGTGTGTGTGTGTGTGTGTGTGTGTGTGTGTGTGTGCGTGTGTGTGTGCAAGGCCGCATAGGTGTAGGATGGCTGGTGCATGTCATTCATGGTCATTATGTGCATGCTGAACCTAGGTCGAAATTTTAGGGGGGGGGGGGGGGGGGGCTACGGGCCTGTTACACAATGACATTTGACATTTAGGACATTCAGGACATTCAGGATATTCAGGACATTCAGGAGGATGCGTATGTACCTGAGTGGAGTTGGTGGCTGTAACCGATGAACTAGAACCATGCTTGACAGACTGGTAACGCATCCCGGTGCCAGATGTAGGTCTGTTGTTTGCTGACCTCTCACCTGCAGCTTCCAGAGCTCCTGCATTGAACACACACACACACACACGCACACACACACGCACACACACACGCACCAACAAGTAAGAAAACACATAGACACAAATACAGACGCACACACACACACACACATGCATGCACACACACACACACACACGCACACACCAACAAGTAAGAAAACACATAGACACAAATACAGACGCACACACACACACACACATGCATGCACAAGGTTACAGTACTGCTGAGTCACCTCTGCAATAGCAAAGAAGACGTGGTTACAAGCGACCGTTGACGTGTGCATAGTGTGCATACGCATACATAGTGTATCCATCCCAGTGCTTGCTCACCTGATCTCTGATGCTGGAGACTAACTCCATCCTTGTTATGATGTACCACCACCATCAGGCAGACTATGAGAACGAGTGCGGCCAATAGTACTGCAACGCCAACGCCAATATACAGACCAACCATGCTGGCTTTCGCCGGTGGGGCAACATCAGTTCCGCTTGGCGAGGAACTGATCATAGATGGTTGTGATCCTTCACTGCTCGGTGATGGCTTACCGTCTGACGACGAAGAAGCTATATAAGGAAAACAGTGAGACACAGCGGCGTGTAAAAAAGCGATGAGGTGATAACTGTTTCAGAATTACGAACAAGAGGACGAGCTGAATCGACACGTGTGATGGCTTTACTGTACATGGAAGAATAAACGAATCTTGCAAGTAAACTACTAAGGCTATGATGGACAATCAAACAATAAATGATTTCCCAACATTTCCGGATCAGAACACAGTAAGCGGGAATTACCGGAGCATACTGCCGCATCTCCCACCATCATGCCTTCGGGAGCTGCTCCTTTCAGACATTGCATTTTGACAGCTGGGGCAGTGCAACAGCCAATAGTGCCACCACATACACGCCGCCCCCCCCCCCCCCCCCCTCCCTCTCCCCTTTCAGGACATTCTCCTTTGTGTCACTACTGCACACTAGCTGTGTGTATTTGTATTAATGGATTATCCCCAGGCCTTAGCCAAATTCGAGGGAGTCTCCGTCGACAGCTTATGAAGAAGAAAAAGCCAAAAAGATAGTAAATAACGGAAAAGGATAGAAAAGACACGGGCGATAGTAATTTAACCCAGCGCTCTATGACAAGGCTTCTCCAAGTGGAATGAATCGTAACACCTGCTCAGCTGCCTGTCAGCCTGCATGTGAGTGAGTGAGTGAGTACATGGGCAATACCGGCTCTGTTACATGTCACCATGGAAACGCAGTTTGAATATCTACCAGCTGGTATTGTCCTTCAACGCTCATTGCCGCCAAACACCTTCTTCATAGGCGGTAGCCATAACAGTTAGTACGCTACGCATTTACAATTTACATTCACGTGCTCTGTGACTGCCTTGTATTCACGGTTACTTCCGTGTGTTCATTGTAAGTGCATGTTCATGCATATTGTACTGTACATACATTCTGACTGCAGTGTCTATTGTACTGTACATACATTCTGACTACAGTGTCTATTATACTGTACATACATTCTGACTACAGTGTCTATTGTACTGTACATACATTCTGACTACAGTGTCTATTGTACTGTACATACATTCTGACTGCAGTGTCTATTGTACTGTACATACATTCTGACTGCAGTGTCTATTGTACTGTACATACATTCTGACTGCAGTGTCTATTGTACTGTACATACATTCTGACTGCAGTGTCTATTGTACTGTACATACATTCTGACTACAGTGTCTATTATACTGTACATACATTCTGACTGCAGTGTCTATTATACTGTACATACATTCTGACTGCAGTGTCTATTGTACTGTACATACACTCTGACTGCAGTGTCTATTATACTGTACATACATTCTGACTGCAGTGTCTATTGTACTGTACATACATTCTGACTGCAGTGTCTATTGTACGGTACATACATTCTGACTGCAGTGTCTATTGTACTGTACATGCACTCTCGGACTACACTGCTACTTCTGCAGAGGCGTTCTGACAGCAATAAATCTACTCCAAGTGTTGTATTATGTACTCCGAGTGCCGTATATGTATCCCAGAGAGCCATATCTCTTGTATACACATTGTGCCCTCCGTAAATACACCATGTCTGTTGTAAATATATCGCATCCTCTCTGTTATTACATCACATGTGTGATATGCACCTGTCTCACATTCATTGGTACTGGGATATGTAGAGAAGGACGGTAGACAGAAAGGCATATTAGCTAAACATAAACACACTGAATACTTACCATTGTTACCTGGCATGCTGGTCATCCGAGGTACAGTGGTAGTTGGTCTTGGATAAACTGTGTATAGAACAGGTATACTAAGTAGTGTAGAATTGTGTGGAGACAGGGCAAACTCGTACAGGCCATCCTTGAACGGGACTGACTCATTGAACACACTGTAACTACAGGTGTCTGACTGGTTTGTACTAGGAATGTTAACGCACTCGACTTTGTACGGCCGAAACCAAACACTTAAGTTGACCAGGTAGCTGCGGAGATGGTCTGTGGGAAGGATATTATTCGAGCTGTTGTTCACCATGAAGAATTCGGAGCGATTCTCGGCCAGCTCTGCTGCAACAGTGTCAGCTGTGGCGCAAAAGAAAGAAATGGAAGATAGATAGATAGATAGATAGATAGATGGATAGATAGATAGATGGATAGATAGATAGATAGATAGAGAGAGTGAGTGAGTGAGTGAGTGAGAGAGAGAGAGAGAGAGAGACGAAGAGATAGACAGAGAGAGAGAGAGAGAGAGAGAGAGAGAGAGAGAGAGAGAGAGAGAGAGAGAGAGAGAGAGAGAGAGAGAGAGAGAGAGAGAGAGTGGTTGCTTTCGTGAGGGGGTTAGTTATTTAAAACATGACTGGAGACAAGCTTTTAGCTCTCTGAACTGATTACTGCTTGCATCGAAAGTCTTGGGAATCACACACACACACACACACACACACACACACACACACACACACACACACACACACGCGCGCGCGCGCGCGCACGTCAACATGAATAAATACACACGCGCGTATCTCACCAAGAGATTCGGAAAATGTGTAGATGATCCGCTCAGCAGATCTGATGGCAAATTTCCCTTCTGGTAAAGACAGATTAGCCAGCAGGTAAAGTGTATTCTGTGTGAACACACGGTGCACCCTCCACTCTGAATCAATCAAGCTGAAAACAGTGACGTTTGAACTCCCAAACCCTTCGCCAGTAACGTACATATTTAGCTTGTCGACGATGGATTCACCTGTACAAAGGGCAGTCCAGAGCATTACAATCCGTCATGTGATTAGGTGAGTATTACCTGTACACAGTTGTGGTATTGAACAGAATGATCAAATAACAGGATGAATTTCATTATTCGTGGAGTGAATGGATATTCGAGTAATTGCAGGAACTGGCAGAAATCGAGAAATAATCATGGGGTATACATTTGCAGATTGTGCACTCAAAGTGCAGGCATGCTCCACATGCATATTCACATACAAACAGTTGCATGGGGCATGACACGAACAGCTACTGTCTGCACAAGATCTCCTTAGCATCTGATGAGTCTCTGCAGCATAGCGCAGTGCTGTTGATGCACTGCGCTATGCGTGTAGCTGGACAACACTCTTGACTTGTGGGGGCCAGCTTCCACTCAATGCACTGCTCAGCCTTCCCTATAGAGGGTATTACCTGATCAGTTGATACGCTTTGGCAAAGTGGCAGCACAGCGCTGCACTTGCACTAGCAATTGAAGCTGCATACATAGCGGGGGTGACCGTGAGGTTGGCAGGGGAAACAAACTGTTCACCCATTTTGTCCGTGTTCCATTATTGCACTGTCATACAAAATAGAACGTACGTGCGCAGCGAGGACCCGGAATGGAACATGTGGCGGCACTTTCGTCGCGTGAACCCAAAAATTGAATTATACAAGTAGGGTGGTGCATTATCAGAGTAAGGGAGTAAGGGAAGGGGGGGGGGGGAGAGCGCTGCCCCCCCCCCCCCCCTTCTCTAGAACTCTGAAATATCACCAGAGCTAAGCAGAGTGATCCCGGCAGCAAACAGAGACCCTCAAGTACCTTCATCGGCTGGATATGTGCTGACGAGCTTAGTAAGCAACAAATATAAACTGAAGATAGAGGACGTACTGTAGCATAGGCGGCAGATTAAACCCAATTGACATGCTCGTGCACTAGAAATAGCAATAAATCATCAGCAACAAACATCGCATTCCGCATTGTACTCTTTGCAAAACCAGTGTCCAGGCTTTCTAAATGCCATTAAATCTTCCACACTGTTTCGCCAGTGTTAACATCATGGCCACCTCGATGTGACTACTCCCCAGTTTGCCTGTTTTTCACGTCAGTCTGTATACACCCTGATCAAGCAGTCAAGGTATACCAGGCTTGGTCTGCAATAGAACACAAGTTTTCATATCCTGGGAATTGGTCAGTCAAACAGAATGAGAATGTGTTAGGATGAGACCATATCACTTACAGCTGTGTGCGGGTGTGCTGATAAAATAACCGGGTCTACACACACACCGGTCTTCACCAGGTACCGCCAACAAGTTGTAAATGCTATTGCAGTACCCTGTAGCAATGAACACAGAAGCACATTAAACTGCAACAATGAACAGAGAAGCATATTACACTGCAGAAAAAAACAACAAATATACTGCTGTCTGGGTTGACAACACTGGTAACACCAATTGAGCAGTGCCCGTATTGACAGAATTTGAACTTGCTCTACATACTATTGTGATAGCATGTCTCCTATCGACGGAATTCTACAGTCAGTGATGTTGTGCAAAGCAGACCATGATATCTGTTCGAATACACACACAGAGTCAATAGTATTGTCTTAGGAGCCGGTGAAATAGTTTTTTGTCGTCCCTGGAATGAACATCTTTCATTTGAGGGCAGGTGGTTTCAGCTAAAATCTCAAGTCGACTGACGATGTTCATTCATATCAATTTACATGCTATTTTCGTCGTCCAGCATAGAAAGCTGTGTTCATTTTGGAGGGTGGGGAGGGGTCCGAGTACAAAGTGAACCATATTCGTTTCAAGGACGACTAAAAACTATCACTCTGATCAATGTGATAGAAAACAACTACTCAGATTGCTGAGTCCATTGTGTGTGGAAATCCTGAGCAGAATTTATCACACGCATACATAGAGTACGTCACTTGATGCTAGCAGAGCGGGGCACTTACAGGATACGCAGATTGTGGGACGTGCCGCGGTGCAGGAGTCTTGATGTGTTGTGTTAGTAGATGGTCGGTAGGTAGTGCAATGAGACCCATTAGTGGCGTTGGTGTATACCGGTATGTAGCTGACGTTGTTGTCATGCAAGACTTGCGATGTGTTCAGCAGTTTTGAGGCACAGCTGAGTTGCTGCCCGTCTGTAGACAATGGCCGACCACCATATTGTTGATAGCACGTCTGGTTTGCATGATCTGCTGAGAATGAGATGCTATGGTATGTATACATGTGTGAGTCACACACTATAGAAGCTGCTTGTGTATCTACAGCCACAAACAAGAGTAGAACGGATATCCAATCATGTCGTCTCAGACAGTGACATACTTCACGCAGTGTTCCAACTAAATGCACTGCAGCAATCAGTAAAGAACCTACATTACGAAAGGTACGAAGACTGTAAACTAAAACAACTAACTTCAAGAACATGAGAACAAAGGAAGATATAGAAAACGAGCACGGCAGGACAGTGTGTAGATTACTAAACTATTCATGCTCGGATATGGTACGATGCACATAGAGAGTGTGCTCAGGTTACACACTCAGACATGAATGGTGACAACATGTGAATGCATAAGGCCGGGGCATAGAAAGGTCAAACACTGACCTGGATTGGACATCCGTAACAGTGGTCAGCTACGGCTAGGCTATAGCATACAATGCATGTAACAGCCATGAATGAGTCTCAGTCGACCTACCAAGCATGACCAGCACTAATGCACTGGACTACAACTATCAAAACAAAAGAAAGACCGGAATATTCTAGAACAAATCTAACATACCTCCCTCACGAACGAAGAGTGATAACAGCATCTGAGTGAGTCTAAGAAAAGAAAGTGCAAATAACGTAGCAATGAAGTGAACCAACAGACTGCAAGTAGTGTTCACTCAGTACCTTCGACTTCAAGGGGCACAAGCCGATGGACAGCTCGCTTGTAGAATCTCTCAGCCACCTTGACCTTCACTACTCGAACAATACCATCCTTGCCGGGATAGACCTCTGTCACACGCCCAAGCGGCCAGTGTGACCTTGCTGTGTGCTCGTCCATCACAAGCACAACGTCTCCTTCCTGAACGTTACGCTGCTTCTGTAACCACTTCACTTGAACGTTCAGCTTTGGGACGATTTCTTTTAGCCAACGCTTCCACACATCGTCGATGATACGCTGTACGACCTCCCATCGCTTCCTTGGGTGAACTTGCGTCTCTGTAGTTATGTTGACTTCAGCGGCCATTGTAGAATTGGCATGTCCAACTAGGAAATGCTGTGGTGTCAATGGCTGAAGGTCCTCAACATCTGACGTCATGGTGCAGAGAGGACGACTATTGATGAGGTCTTCGGCGTTAACCAGTGCCGTGTGTAATTCCTCGTCTGTCAAATCAGCTCTGTACAGCACACCCTGTAGCACTCTTTTCATGGATTTGACCATCACCTCAAACACACCGCCGAAATGAGGCGCCCTTGGTGGGTTGAATGCCCACGAGATGCCACGTGACGTCATCTCCGCGGCAAGCCTGGAGTTGTCCAGTGACTTCACAGCTGCTCTCAGTTCTTGATCTGCTGCGACGAAGTTGGTACCGTTGTCGGACACCATCTTTTGTGGCACTCCGCGGCGCTTAGTAAACCGGCTCAGAGCTAGCAGGAAACCGGCAGTATCTAGAGAGTAGACGAGCTCAAAGTGACATGCTCTGGTCAGGAGACAGGTGAAGACACATACATACCGCTTGGCCTGAGATCGACCACGACCCTGGCGTGTGTGGAATGGTCCAGCATAGTCCACTCCGACCTTCGCAAATGGTTGTTGTGGTCCAGACGTTCTGAAGTTAGGAAGCGGTGCCATTGCTGGTGTTGCCGTCTTGACGTAGCGCTTCCGACAGAGAATGCACTTGCTCCTGTGCTCTTTGACTGCTGCCTTGCCTTTGACTATCCAGTATTCACCAGCGAGCAGTGATAGAAGGTGGTTCGTACCGACGGCATGATTGGCGTTCGCATCGGCTGCTGCGATGATTAGCTTTGTTGTTCTGTGACTTCTCGGTAAAATCACTGGTGTCCGAATGCCGGGTGGTAGATGGTGTGCTGTGCGAAGTCTCCCATTGACTTGAGAACACCAACGCCACTAGTGGCGTCTAGTACTGGTTGAAGCTTTTGTAGCGGTGAGGATGCTGAGAGGCCCTTGCCTCCTGTGACATCTGCAAACGTTCTGCCATAAACCTCTCGCTGAGCCAAGCTGATCCATACACACTTAGCACTCCATAGCTCGGACACTGTCAACTCTGGCACGGAGACGTTTCTCCCAGTTGGTAGAGTTATGGACTTGGTCGCAATCTCAGGACTGGCGGCTTGCGTGCTGCGTCGCCTAGCATTGTTGACGAATCGTCGACACCATGCGGTTATCCGTACGAGGTGATCCCAGGAGGAGAAGTGGTCTGGATGAAGACGGCTTGTGGGCAGTTCTTGCGTAGTGGCCACCATCGTGATCTCTCGTTTCAATTGACCTGGAAGCTCTGGTGGCGGCACGATGTGCTTACTGGGCCATGTGGAGGTGGGCTTGGACAAGAAGGCTGGACCTGTCCACCATGTTGCATCATCGGCCAGCTGCGTCGCACCAACACCTCGACTTGGCATATCAGCAGGGTTGACTGTGGTGCTGACGTGACACCATTGACTTGCATTACTGAACTCTTGGATCTCCGAGATGCAGTTTCCGACTTCGATCTTGAATTTCCTGCTGGGCGATCTTACCCAGTACAACACATTCATCGAGTCAGTGTAGAAGTACTGCCGTGATACAGGAACATCAAGTGCCTCACCCACTGAGCAGCTCAACCGAGTGCCTAGCACTGCACCTTGCAGTTCCAGCATGGGGATGGTCTTGCGCTTGATAGGTGTTGGTCTTGCCTTGGCGAGCGCTAATGTCACCTTTGCAGTCCCGTCATCACGCTCTTGTCGGGCGTACGTCACGGCGGCGTAAGCTGATGCAGACGCGTCTGTGAACGTGTGGAGTGTCAGAGGCTGATCTGAACTGATCTCGGTGAAGCATCGGCTTGCCTTCACATCTCTCAGACTTGGGAACTCTGAGAACCATTGCTTCCACTCTGATGCTTGATCACTGTCCAGAGGATCATCCCAGTCTGTTCCACGGATGCAGGTGGCTTGGAAGAGAATGCGACTGCGGATGGTGAATGGACACAGCTGTCCTCTGGGATCAAACAGTCGGCACATTTGACTGAGCACTCCTCGCCGTGTGAACTGGACGTTGCTCGGTTCTGGATAGATGAATGTGAACTGGTCATCATCTGGCTCCCAGGCGACTCCAAGAGCCTTGTGAGGAAGAGGTGGCAGTTCACTGCTGGCTATGGTCATCATCTTGTTGCTGGCTCGATCTTCCAGTGGGATGGAATCCAACACCGCTTCCGTATTGCTCATCCACTTCCGCAAGTGAAAACCACCACGCTGTGTAACTTGTTGAAGGTCACTCCGAGTGACGATTGCAGATTGTACTGACGGTAGCGACATCAGCAAGTCGTCCACGTAGAAGTTGTCATCAATGGCCTTTGCTACCTCGGCGCCAGCCTCGCTGCTGAATTTCTCTGCCGTTGCTTTCAGTGCTCTTCCTGCGAGGTAAGGTGATGCACGCATGCCGAATACAACCCGGCAGAACTCAAAGAACACCACTGGGTCCTGTGGTGACTCACTCCACATGAACCGATGGTACTTGCGATCCGTCTCGCGCAGCTCGACTTGTAAGAACATCTCAGAGATATCTGCGGCGAGTGCGATCGGCTGATGACAGAAGCGGAGTAAAACTTTCACCAAGTCACTCTGCAACTTCGGACCGGTGTGCATGAGATCGTTGATGCACTCTCCGTGCACCTTGGCTGAGCCATCAAACACCACGCGAACTTTTGTTGTGGCCTTGTCTTCTCTGATTACAGGGAAATGAGGCAGAATCCACTGGTCGACACCAGCAGCCTGAACTGCGGACGTTGATACTGTGTGAATGTAGCCCTTCTTCAGGTAGTTCTGAAGCACTTCTGAGTAGCGCAGCTGTACAGTAGGATTTTTCTGGAACAGACGGTGTAGCGAGCAGAGCCGCTTCCTGGCGTACTGTTCCGATCTCTGCTGAATCTTTGGCTTGCTACCGTCGCCTCGCCATGGGATGCCGACAACGAACCGTGTGCCGTTGTGGTGGAGACTTTGCACGGTCATTGCGTCAGCCTCACGCTCATCCGGAGTCAGGTAGGATGATGTGCTCTTGGCCTGCATGCCAACGCTCTCGAGGTCCCAGAACTTGTTGACGGTGTTTATCAGTGTACTGTCACTTACAGCCAGTAGTGATTGTTCCGTCATCTCTGATGCGCTGTCAGTCGGACCTTCGCCGAACAATACCCAGCCCAACGGTGTCTTCCTGGCAATTGGACCTCCCTCACTGCAGAATCGTTCGGCAAGTGAAATGTGCAGCTGCGGCGCATTGAGACCAATCAACAGATCCACTCTGGACTCGTTGCTTGCAGGTACGACGTCACTGAGATGCGGCCAGCGTTTCAGTTCCTCTGTCCAGTCGAAGGCTGGGACGGGACGCATGATGCGCGGAAGCATCCACACTCTGACGGTTGTTGACGACTGGCCATCAGCGTGACATAGTTCAGCTGATGTATAATGCTCCAGACGGAGCTTCTCTCCCCCCAGAACAGCGGTATCCAGCGGGACGTTAGCTTTCGTTGTCTGTAGCCCGAGCTGGCTGACGAGTTCTGTGGTTATAAAGCTGCAAGAAGATCCTGAATCCAGGAAGACGTTAGCTTTCCTTGACCCTGTCGGACCCTTTGCGGTGGTGGCAACAGTCATGAACGCGACAGACTTGGGCTCGATGGTAGTGCCACATGCAGTCTGGGTGTGTGCTGTCTTGTCAGCTGCTGATGCCTCCGTGCTTGTATCCTGGCAAGTAGCTGAGTGGTCCTTGCTGTGTTGACTATTGGCTCCGGTTGTCCGTTGGTTCAACTTCGTGTAGTGTAGCAGGCGATGATGTGGCCTACTACAGATGCCGCACTTGGACTGCTTGCATGACTTTGCCTTGTGGCCTGGGCCAAAGCAGCAGATGCAGACGGGCTTTGGTTTGATGAAGTCCCATCTCTGAGGGATTGTCAACTGCTTGAATTCTCGGCAATAGCTGAGTGCATGGTCTTTGTTGCAGTATATGCAATCGTTGCGGCTGTCTGGGCTCTGGCCACTAGTAGTTGCTACAAACGTACGGTCGGGCCGCTTGCCAAACTTGGCTCCACCACTACTTGGTCGCTGTTCAGCCAGCTCGGCGCCACTCATTCGTTCTTCGACCTGGCGCAGACGCTGGACTCTCTTGAGCAGGTACTCTGAGAAGGCACCAATGTCGCACTGCGAGTCGTCGTGCTTTTCCATAAAGCGTGTCAACACTGACTTGGGTACCTTCTGCGTGACACTTAGGTACAACTCTCGCCCTGGTGTGATGCCGCTGGCGCTGAGATTGATGAGTGCATTCCTCAGCTTCACGGCAAAACTCTTCAACCCGTCGAGGTCTCGCTCATTGACGAGTCGCGGCGCTGACATCAATTCTTTTTCATACCGGTCGATGTCCCGTGTTGGCCCGCCATACCATGCATCTAGCTCATGCAGTGCGGCATTGTAGGCACCAGGACCATCCACAATTTCGGCAATCAACTCATAGGCGTCACCACCTGTCAGCGCTTCTCGCAGACGTGCAAACTTGTGCCCCTCTGACAAGAATGCATCGTCGTCGATGAGTTGCTTAAAGCGCTGCTTCCACCGGCTGTAATCGTTTGTCTTGCCACTGAATCTCGGCAGCTCTAGTGGTCTCAAATGCTGTCTGGACAGCATGCTGTTGTAAATCTGCAGCTGCTCTGGACCAGACAATACTGCTGCAGCGGGTGCTGGCACTGTGGTAGCTGCTGCTGACTTCTGTGCCCTGTGACTGGGTCCCTGCACAGAACTGATGGGTGCAAAACTGGACTGCACAGTCACTGGTTTCCAATTACTGGGTGTGACACCACATGTAACACTAGTACTAGTAGTAGTGGCCACACTGTATGATCTGCCAACACCAGGCCCCAGGTGTGTATTCACTGATGCTGTCACTGGCTGGGTCATGGCAGGTAAGCCATATCTTACTCCTGCCAGTCCTGGTCTGATTGAGCTCACTGGATTGTAGTTCAATGCACTTGGCCCTGGGCCAGGGTTGAGGCTGCTGCGGCTCACCTGAGTGGCTGGATGAATGGTAATCTGCCTCTGGCTCTGGTGACTGGAAGGCTGGGGCCGACTTGGCTGAGCTTGCACAGGCGGCTTAGCCAGTACACGACCTGTACTGTTCACACCTTGGTGATGATCCCAGGACACAGAAGCGATCGAGCTGTGGTCGTCAGGAACACTTCCTGTGCCCTGCGCACCTACTGCAGCTCCAGAGCTATCCACACGGTCTACAGGCACAGGCACTGAACCGAGTAAATCTGCCGCCGCAGTTTGTAGATCCACACTGTTACTCAACTGAACCTTGCTGAGGTCAGGCAAACTCTGAGCGCCATTCTCCGGGCCTTGCTGATCTAGATCGCCTTCTTCCTCCGGACGAGGATCTGCGTCAAAGCCAGCACGACTAAGCGTGACAGCTCCTTGTCTGGGTTTACCAGCTCCGGTATCCAGATTGCTGAGCTCCAGCCTACGTAGAAACTGGGCATGACGCTCCAGCAAACTCGTCGTCAATCTTGGACTCTGAGTTTCCTTGCCTGCACTGGCGATTGGCATCATTGCCTCGGAGCTTGCAACAGAGTGCCGACTCCCAACGGAGGAGAGTTCAAGTGCAACAGCTGCCTTATCTGCTGCTAGGCGCTTCTGAATCACGCCTCTCTGCAACTCCAAGCGTTTCTTCGCCAGTTGCTCCGCTGTCTCCATCTCAAGTTGAGCCAGCTCCTCAGCCGCTTCGAATTCTTTCTCCGCGACTAAGACCTCTAGTTCAGCCGCTTTGCTGGACGTTCTCGAGGCCTTTGAGACACTGTCCCACTCACCAAGCCTAGAAGGCGGCCTACCCTTCGTAGTTCTCGAGCTAATTCTTTTCTCCGACATCGTCGGATCCGGCTCGAAGGACCAGAAAATGTTCCAACTAAATGCACTGCAGCAATCAGTAAAGAACCTACATTACGAAAGGTACGAAGACTGTAAACTAAAACAACTAACTTCAAGAACATGAGAACAACGGAAGATATAGAAAACGAGCACGGCAGGACAGTGTGTAGATTACTAAACTATTCATGCTCGGATATGGTACGATGCACATAGAGAGTGTGCTCAGGTTACACACTCAGACATGCATGGTGACAACATGTGAATGCATAAGGCCGGGGCATAGAAAGGTCAAACACTGACCTGGATTGGACATCCGTAACAGTGGTCAGCTACGGCTAGGCTATAGCATACAATGCATGTAACAGCCATGAATGAGTCTCAGTCGACCTACCAAGCATGACCAGCACTAATGCACTGGACTACAACTATCAAAACAAAAGAAAGACCGGAATATTCTAGAACAAATCTAACACGCAGAGTTATGATTTCTGCCAAGAGCTTTGTATAACACTTGTTCATACCTGAGACACTTTATAAAACCCGTTCTACATAAGTACATAAAGTGGAAAATCAAAAGCAAAGACGAACTGTCGCAAACCGAAAGTCAATATCTTACTAAACTCCATGTTTTGCTTGGCTTCCCCTCATTATGTGCTTTACATACCTTCGAGCGTCCAAGTTGAGTGGTCTGTTTCCTTGCGACATCCAGTTGTAGTGAGACTGGTGTGTTCAATGTTCTTACTAGTCTCGTCATCGTGTAACGTTCTACATTCTTTGTAGCCAAGGGACACAGCTCGTGCACCTATTCGTGGCGAATCCCTTCCCCTCATTGGAACTTTCCGCACCTGAGCCTTCCAAGTTGGAAGGTTGTTGGTTTGCGCTTCGTAGATGTGTTGGAGCTAGGTGTCAGGTCGTTGAATTTATCAGTATCCTCGTCAGTGTTGTGCCTTGTTGTCACACTATCTGACTGTATAATTAACCCTTTCATTGCCAAGGGGGTCAGAAAAATTTTTCTGAGTTGAGCCGAACTCAAATTTTTCATAGCTCAGCTGTATATCCACGGATCTTTACAAACGATGGCTCTCTGGAAAGATATCATGGCCAGGCAGACAGCTTTGAAGAGAAAATGCAGCGAAAATAGTCTTCCTAGTGAGGGCGACTGAGCGAAGTCCGTTTTCTGCATTTTCGTAGCATCTACACTTTCTCACGCGCGCGATCGATCACAGTGCAGTCAACTTTCAACACACGAAATTTGGACAAAGTTGGCCTGAAAGCCACTGAAAT